GTGGCAGGGACCACTGCAGGAAAGCGCTGGGCACGCAGGGGTGATACCATGCAGCTGAAGCACCAACCTGAACCAAATCCAGATTACTGCAGGGGTGGGAGTGATGTCTGGGTGGGGATGGATGCAGGATGCGCCATCAGTGCTCCCTCAAAGCCAGCTTGGACTGCGGGGGTACCTGCAGCCCCGCACCATGCCCTGGGGTCCTGGTGCAGCCCTCCACAGCCCAGCCCCCTGCACGGGCTAGTGTATGGGTGGTGTGTGGTTAATAAAACACAGGCTTACATTTCCCTTTTCAACCGAAATTAGCATCCTTCATTGCCAGCTCTGAGAAATATTCCTTAAGGGTAAGAAGTTTATAAAAAATTTAAAGTAACAAAGGCAAACTTATAAAAAATTCATCCCTGGGTGCTGATTGCTCCATTAAACCCGCGCGCCTTTCCGTGAGAATACAAAATTCACAGGATTAATTATGTAAACAGACAGAAAAGGCACAACAGCTGAGAACGGGACTAATTAGCAGCAGAGCCGCCAGTGCCAGCCTGGACCCGCAGGTCGGCTGCGTGAGGATAACGCACCCGGCGCTGGCCTGAGCCAGTCACTGCCTAACTGCTGAGGTTCAGAGCAGCCTCGGCTGCGTTGAGTGAGCAGTGAGTGCGGGGACCCCGGCTTGGCTCTCCTGTGTGTCCTGCACGGCAGCGCTGCCCGGGAGCCCCGCGCCAGGCGGCTGTGGATTCACTGTGGGGATTCACTGTGAGGATGTGTGCTGCGAGACGTCTCCTTCATCCACCCGCCAGCTCCTCAGCGCTGGCTCTGCCCCATGGACCCCATCCTGCTGGAGCCCGTACACAGGTTCCAGTGCCTGAGAGCTTCCTTCTCCTGATCGCTCAGGTTTAATGATCGCCCGGCTAAATTCAGAGCAGGCAAACACAACGGACGGGATCGGAACAAGCAAGAGGCTTCTCATTCACAGGCACATGAGCTGTGTCATCGAGGTGGAAGTCACTTGCTAATGCCGGCCTCCACCTTGCATTGTTTTTCACTGAAGGAAGATTTTCAGGAGGAGAAAAGAAACTTAAGGAACACATTTAAAAGTAAAGTTGAATAGGTCGGGGCTGTGGGAATACAAATGCTGCTGGAGCTCCATTCGGATTCTTTCCCATCGCTGTCCTCAGCTGGAGAGGCTCGGGCGGTCCTGCCGCAGAGGAGGTGCTGTCAGCAGGATTCATGCAGGGGTGCACCAGCTCCCATCACAGGAATGGGGAGTGCCAGGCTCCCAGGGGTCCCCAGAGAGGACTGCCAGTGCCATGGCTCCCATGGGAGCGCCCAGCCAGTACATGGTGTCTCTGCTGGTGTCCTCACTGCACTTGCAGCTCCCAACGCTGTGGGAGAGGATGCGGACCTGTGCAATGTGGGGCAGTGGAAATGGAGATGCTGGGATGCTCATGGTGCAGCCTCGTTCTGTGCTGGTCCCTGCACAGTGGACTCCTGGCAGAAACAGTTCTGGCGGGTGCTTGCTTTGGAAGTGCATCTGATTCCTGTGCAGTTTTGCTCCACTGGTAACTCCCCTCTGCGATGATCCCCTGGGCAGGTGACTCAAGAGAGAACAGAGGTCTTTGTCCCTCTGTGCCCCAGGGTTTTCCTTACCTGATTGTCTTCCTTCGGCTGGATGAATGTCCTGACTGAGGTGACCTGAGCAGTGGGAACATTCCCATTCCAGCGCCCATGGGCACTGGTGAAAGCACTGCCTGGAGGCAGAGCTGCGAGCCCCTGCCCAAGCATCTACACGCTCACTGCCAGGCCCTGGGGCTCCTGGGGATGGCAGGGACACCGTGCCTGGCTGGAGGTGGCACTTTGGGTGTCCCGGTCACGCTGATCCTGTTTGGATACAAGGCCGCAGTGTGCTGGGGCAGCCGTGCTGGCCGGTGAGCACCGTCCCGAGGGCTGGCCCCGTCTCCCTCCCTGCAGAGCCCCGCGGGCGCTGTCACGTACGAGGCAGAAGCGCCACCTCAGATGGGGAAGGAGCAGCTACATTTAGCGAGTGCAGGAGAGGAAGTGTCTGAGTTTCACAGGAGCCCCTCGCCCACTCCCTTTTCTCACCCGCTCAGCTCAGCGCATCCCTGAAAACCCCCTCCCTTCATCCATGGTTATTTTTGCCCATGAGCTGCAGCACGAGGGGGTTGGAGCATCTCACCATGCCCAGGTGAGCTCTCGCAGGGGCTCGCACAGGTTTTGCAGCGTGAAGAAGCTCCATTACCCCATTGCCATCCACAGAGAGATGCCTGAAAGGATTCGCCTCTTCCCCCTCTGGATCTGGATTTCTGCTGCAGTTAAGATGAAGCAGTTGTAATGGGAGCTCTGACGGTTCATGCTCCACGTTGCTCTTCCCTGGTGACACTCCAGTTCAAACACCCTCCTCTCCTTCCCACTGCGGCAAGCACCAGCAGCACAGTCACTCCCCAGTGCCCTGGGCTGGGCTCTGCTGCCCCATCCTCTGGCTGGGCACTGAGGTACAAAGTGATTAAAAATGGAAAGCAGTTTTGCTTTTATTTTTATAGAATTTTTTCTTGTTTAAACATTTCCCCACATTTCTGTGCAGCAAAAGGGCTGGAAACCCATTCCCAACCAAAAGCATAGGCTGAGAAACAAAGGCTGCCCCTCATATGTGTGTGCTCCCAGGGCAGGGCTTGGGCTGTGCAGACAAAGGGGTTCCGTGGCTCTCACAGGCCTCACACCCAGCAAGAGGCGTCGAGAGGTGGCACTGGAGCGAGCACTGCCCAGCCCCGAATCCAACCCAAATCAGCCGGAACCAGGGCTGCTGAGCCGGGAGAGCATCCCTCCCAAAAGCAGGACCAGGACGGAGCCATGCGCATCGCGGCTGGCACCATCACGGGCGGTTCCCATCACTGCAGGCAGCTGCTGAGCGTGTCTCTTCCTTCCCAACAGCTGCTGGGATCTGACCCTGTCCATCAGGCAGTACCAGGCAGCCCAGCGAGCCCACAGCAGGCTGCTCGCTGACATGAGTGTTTTCAAACATGCAGGCAGCTATCTGATCGGCGCCTTCCCCAGAGGACGGGCTGGGGGATCGGTGCGTGCTGTGCGCTGGGTTTTGCCAGTAAATGATGCTGCTTCTGAGCAGAGTTTAACTCTTGAAGCACAGCAGCAGCCAGGCTTGGTGCTGTGTCAGTGGCTCACGGTGTCCCGGCTCTGGGGAGTAAAGGAGACTTTGGAGATGGAGGAGGCAGACCTGGAGAGGATCAGGCCAATGGGAGGTTTCCTGCTGGTGCCACCATCGGGGGCAGAAAGAGGCTCAGATCCTGTATTACATGGAACTGATGGGTAGGGAATAAAAATGGGGTTTGTTGTCTTGGGATATAAGATAATTAATGCTGATTAAAGCAATATAAATGTCACCAAGCATTAGCAGGAGAGCCAAGAAATCTCTTCACCCATGAACAAAGGATCCTTGCATGGGATGGGAACAGGGTGCAGAGGGAATGGGAAGCTGCAGGGAAGCCGCTCCCTGCAGAGCGCCTCTACTGCCGCAGGAATGGGGACCAGGAAGTCACTTCACACCTTGAGCATCATTCGGGCTCTGTCTCTCCCTGTTTCTGGAGACATGGAGTGCTCACGCCTCGCTCTCACCTACACCTCTGCCAGGGAACCCTCCTGCGCGCGATGCTGGTACCCGCGGGGAGCAGGGATTCCCCATCCCTCACCCTAAACCACAGCAAGCAGGAGGAGAACCCGTGCAGCCCCCCCCCCAAGTGAAAAACCCTTGAGGAGGGTCCAGCCCCCGACCTGTGGTGCTGCCAGATGTGCCCACGGTGCTGCGGCTGCCCCCACAGAGCAGAGCCGTGCACTGGCAGCACCAGCAGCATGGGATGGCGGCAAGAACTGGACCCAGGCGCAGGGCAGAGCTGTGCCGGACAGGACAGGCAGCCCTGCAGGGAGGGATGGGGGTGCTCTCCCAACACACAGCCCCATTCCCACCTTCATCCCTCCTGCGCCAGACCCTCACTCTGAAGGCGGAGGCGCTGCCCTGCTCCAGCTCGCTTAATTGTGTTCCTCACTTGAGCAAGTCATTAGGCGGGAGGCGGAGGAATGCATCCGAGCACCGTGTTAATTTACACAACTATTTACTTAAGCACCCGGCACCCCTCTGCGTTCTGTATGCAGCGACCCGCCTGCTCCCTGTGTTCTCACTGCAGTATCGATCCGCGGCACTTCAATACCCTCATTGAGATTCCGGGCACTGGCTCAGGGACTCTATCTCGGTGTCTGGTCAATAGCTTATATTTTTAATTTGTCGATAATCAGTCAGGACCTTGGTGTGAGTGCTGCCGAGGCTCTCTGCTCAATGGGGAAGGTGAAATCACTCAAGCAGGGTCATGTTTATGGCCTAAGCTGAACCATGGGAAATGGAGATATCAGTCAGGCTTATGAAAAATAACATGCTATATTATTTTTCATAAAGCTGACAAAATCATATTTATTTAAAGACAAAGATAAGGCACCCAGCTGGCAGCACTCACTTTCTCTTCTCATCCGAGCCTGCTGTGCCCTGGGAAGTGCAAACAGCCCCCACATGTGCAAGCCTTGCACCCACACCCTGCTTCCCGGCCCCCTGCCCTCAAACCTGCCCCCTTGGGACCACAGGGGGTGCAGATACAGGTATGGCCTCATCTGTGCTCGCTGCTGCACAGGGCACGGGGCCGGAATGTGCCTGTTGCTGCTGCAGCGCTGTGTCCATGCTCGCTCTGTGCTCACACACAGGGCAGGTACCCAGGAGCCAGTGACAGCCCCACCGCAGCACCCCCACACAGCTTGTGCCACTTCTGCTGCTCCTCAACCTCTCCTTGACCTCAAGCACCAGCTGAAACCAGCTGCTGGCCTGTAGCCTTAATTAACAGCACCGGGGGGCAATTAAGCATTTGGGCTGGGTGTGTACATATAGTTCAGGAGAGGAAGGTTCTGGGTCTTTGGGGATGTGCTGCGTGGGGCTGCTGGCTCCATCTCTGCTCTTCAAGAGGGTCAAAGCAAGGATATGCGGTTTTCATCCGGAGAAGACAACATCCTTGTTTCCAGGTAAGGGCTGGGCGCCAGTGGCTTTTTCAATTGCTGCTTGGATGAAATGTGTACTTTGTTTTAAGGCTTTTTTGGAAAGTTGAGGATTTGATGAGACCGAGTTAATGTCTAAAACTCTTGGGTTTTGGAGCCTGCATCTGTGAGCAGTGCCGCTGAGGGCACGTTGTTAATGGTGCTGGCTTTGGTGCGATGGTACCTGTGAGTTCTGGGGAAGAAAAAAGCCAAGCAGCTTTCAGCTGCAGTTTCAGCCCCAGCTTGCTCTGCTGGGTCTGAGGGGTGTGCACCGGGGCCGTGTGAGCCCCAGGAGCTGTGTGTGCAAGGGTAAGCGTGCTATGAAGGCTTCCCAGGTAAAACCGACCCTGCTGGGTTCACCTCCCGTGTGACATGGGAGGCTTGCTGCAGCTTGTCCCCACCCCTGCCCGAGGCAAGGGCAGAGCTGTGGCTGTCCGGGCAAACAGGGCTGGTCGCAACAGCGGTGGAATAGTTGTGAGGATGTTGTTGTTGGAGATGCGCGTTTGCGAGCACGACTTGGCTGCAGTCATTTGGATCTTTGCGCTTGGTTCTGCTTGAAAAGGGTTTAAAGTAAAAGGAAAGGTGGAATGAGATGTTGGAAAGCCCCGAGGTGAGATGAGCTGACAAGTCAGAAACTGCTTCTGCACACCTGGAGAGGCTGCAGCTAAGGAAAACCTGGAGTGTTGATCTGGGAGACATCAGTTACCTTGGCAATGCTGGGAAGAGGGCTGGGGGGCTGGAGGGATGGGGCAGGGCTCAGATGTGGGGTTGTTGCCTTGCAGAGGTGGTGTGGGGGCAGCAGGATGTGATGTGCTTCCCAATGTACCCAAGCACTGAAGTGGGCAGAGGGTGTTGTGGTGCAGGGGGGAGCTGGGGCTGTGTGAGAGCAGTTTATGCACGTGGAGTGGGGAGGACCCCAGGGAAAGGGTTTGGTGAGGCTGGGCTGGGGTGATGGGGATGTGTGCGTTCTGCATTCCTGAGCAACCACGGCGATTAAAGACGTGTAAGGAGGGAGGGGGGCTGGCTGAGGAGCGGTATCCGAGCTGGAGGCAGTGTGTGGTGCTGCAGGGATGTGTGTGCCCTGGGGACAAGGAGCTGTATGGGGAGGGGGCACCTTGTCTCTTCTCCCTCCCCTCCTCACAGGACTGACATTGGTGTGAACAAGAGGCAAGGCTGAGAGTGGGGTGGGGGGTGCCTGTGACCCGCCTGTGTGCGATGGGTGATGCTCTTGGACTGAGCACGGGACTGCCCCTGCTCTGCTCCCAGGCTCAGCCCGCACTGCTGATGCCGAGATCCCCTCTGTGCCCATGGCTTTGTCCGCCCCTGCAAGTGCCGGTCCTGTCCCCTCAGGAAAGCTTTTGCTCACCAGCCAGGCTGAGCTGGTGCGGGGCTGCCTCCCTGCCGTTCTCGCATCCACCAAGGAGCACCAAGCTCCCGTATCTCACACTTGTCTCCTTCGATTTCCCTGACAGCCAATTCTGGAAAGTTGGAAGGTGTGCCATTATCTAGGACTACATTATGAAAGTGTCACACGGGTGATGAATGGCAGCGCTCACAGGCTCCCGAGGAGCAGGAGGGAAGAGTGACATTAGGAAAGATTTTCTTTTTATGGTTTCTTCAATAGGGAGGGCTCTTTGGAGGGCTGTATTTCACAGCAGACCATCAAACACTCCTCTGGCCTCCCAAACTTCCCAGGAAGCTGCCGAAGGAGGGCCCTTGGAAGGGAGAAGGTTCATTTTGGTTCTTGCCTTCCTGCTGCAGTGAGCTCCTGGACAGCAATCTCTGCCCTCACTCCCTGCCTGGACCGGCCATGGGGATGCCCATGCTGTCCCCATCTCTCCCCCATCCCCTGCCCATCAGCCCTGTGGCTACTCTGGGCTGGCTCTGATGCTTCTTATGCACCACCTCATGTTCTGCTGCGGGAGCAACTAATAAGGTCCACGGGCATGTCATTTAGAATGGTATTTAATAGTGCTGGAAAAACCCTAAAGACCTATTGACCGCGCGGTACAGTGTGTCAGTGCGGTTTACAGGCAAGTACAAGGCGAACATCAATAACCCCCTGTGTGCTGTTACTACACACATCTCACCGTTAAAATAAAGATCCAGCTCAGCAGCTGGGAACCTGTGTGTGCTTCTCCTGCCCTGGTAAGCCCGGTGCACCCCTGGGTGAGGGCAGGGACAAGGCTGTCCCTCTGGGCCCTCCCCAGTGTGTGCCCGGCAGCGTGAAGTGGGTGATGCTGGGGGAGCTGGGAAGCAGCATGCACCCAATAGCACGTGTTTGTGACCACGAGGAGTTTCTGGTTTTGTAAGGGTTAAGGTGTGTACACTACAGACAGAAATGACACCTGCAAACCGCTCTGGTATTGGGTATTGTGGTCCCAGCTGCAAGGCTCTGGTGCTCTGCCCTAGGGTGCTCTCACCTTTAGATACCTCTGTGTATTTTCCAGTGTTCTGGAATTTCCTGATGGGATGAAGCAGGTTTTGTTATCCTGTGAGAGCGAAGGGGGGAAATAGACAGTGTGCTTTTGGAAGTAAACGTTTAGTGTTTCTTTTCCCATATTTGTATATAAGCAAACCCCATGCAATATCTGTTGAAACCCCAGGGCTGGCTCTGAGATAAAGCAGCTCCCCTTGCTCTAATGTGCCTGTGCTGATGGTGTCAGTACCAGTCTGTATTGCTGAGGCTTGAAGGGGTAACAGCCCCTTGGGAATAAACACACAGTAACTGTTGATATGGAAACTCCATAACTAATACTTTGAAACTCTTCCTCTTCATACTGGATAATGAAATAGTGGATTTAAATGATAGAGTACAGCTATTATTATTATTGAAGGCCAAGGGGAATGGCTTTAACCTGATGGAGGGGAGACTGAGCTGAGCTCTGAGGCAGAAGCTCTTCCCTGTGAGGGTGCTGAGGCGCTGGCACAGGGTGCCCAGAGAAGCTGTGGCTGCCCCATCCCTGGCAGTGCTCAAGGCCAGGTTGGACACAGGGGCTTGGAGCAAGCTGCTCCAGTGGAAGGGGTCCCTGCCCGTGGCAGGGGTTGGAGCTGGAGGAGCTTTAAGGTCCCTTCCAGCACAAACCAGGCTGGGGTTCTGTAAGGCATAAAGGAGATGTGGCCAGTACCGCAGAGCCCATTCCGGTGTGAGCAGTGTGTCCTTGCTGGTGGTGCTGCAGGGACCGTGGCGCATCCCTGCAGTGTGCCCATGGGGCTGCAGGAGGCTGTGGCTGTGCCTGCTGAGAGCACCAGGGCTCGGCCGGGTGCTGCGGGAGGAGTTTCCCCTCTGAGCCTCTTTGCTGTGTTTTGTGAAGTGGATTCTCCCCCCTCTCGGTGCAGCCCTGCCTTTCCTCTCCCCTCTCTCCTGCAGACCATGCAGTGTGTGGTTTACCGCTGCCCTGCTCAGGGTGAACCTTTCTGGTGGGTGTAAATCCCGGAGCAGGAGCCACCACATCATTATCAATGCGGGGCTGCCCTCAGCAGACGTCAGGTACCTGCTGTGATGCCTGCCCAGCTGTGGGACTGGCACAGGGTGGGTAAAACCATTGGCTGCAGCACAGACTCTGACGCTGGTGTTTCTCAGACCCCCAGAAGCAATGGGCTGATGGCAAAGCAATGGGAGGCAGTGGGTCTGGATGTGCATGGGGAAATCTGCAGTGAGATGGGTCTGAGTGCCTTCCTCCAGCACCACCTCCTGCTCCTGATCTGAGCAAGGAGAGGGCACTCGGAGGCTCCTTCCTTTCCTTCTGGAAGGATGGGACTCTGTGCTGGATACCCTAGAACCGCCTCATTTAGTAAGACAAAATACAAGCAGCACCAGCCATTTTGGTAAAAGCTTTTCTTTGTTTCCCTGTTGCCTTCAGGATATTAATAAAAACAGATTAATAAAATCAAAGGCAGCACAATTAGGGCTTCAAGGAAAAAAATGTTTGCTGTAGAGTCTTTCAATTTCCATGGCAGTACTCATGCTGAGCAAATCTGTCTGCAATTGCTGATGAAAAGATAGGGAGCTGATGTATGGAGCACAAGGGAGGTGCAAGTCCCTTTGTGTTCCTCCTGTGCGATGCTCCCTGTGTGGGTAGCAGGTTCTCATGTCCATGTATTCACCTGGCAACGTCTGTAGGTTGGCTGCTCAATGAGGTTATTAAATGATGGTGGCTGGCAGAGGGTCTGGGAGCCCCTCGGGATGCTGCTTCCTGCTCCCTGCTGGCACCACGGGTGGGCAGGAGCCGGCTCCCTTGGGAGGGATCCCAGAGGAGCACAGTGGGCAGCAGGGTTCTTATCGTAGGCACCAGCAATAACCGGGGGCTCGCACTGGTGTCCGTGAGGGGCTGGTCTCTGGAGCACTGAAGCTCTCTCCTGTTCCCTGGTCCTCCCAGCACTGTATCACAAGGAAAGCATTTATTTTAGCAGTGTTGCTGGGTTACTCCATTAACCTGGACCCCGTTTGTACCAGCTGAGACAGCCTGGCATGTGTTTGGGAGCCTGGTTTGCGGTGAATCATGAAGCACCTCCAGCAGCTCTGTGTTATGCAGGATTGAAGGATCCAGATGCAGTGGGGAGGATCCGGAGTGCTGCTTTGGCTGGCCCGGAGGAAGCCCATCTTCAAGGGAAGCGTGTCCCAGCCCTGGGAGCCCTCTCTGTCCGACGCATCCCATCTGCATGGTGCATGTGCAGCTCATATAGGTCTTGTTCTATTTGCATAACGAGGCTGTGGGGACTTCCCTCGCCTGCAGAACCACCGTGTGAATGTGGAGCGAAGGCAATTATAGCAGTGTTTACACTTGCAGGAAGACACCTCCTGATGATTTTCCGTAAGGAAAATTCCTCCTTGGTGGAGCTGCTGCCTGGGTTGGCACGTTGCCGCTCCTGGTCGGTGCCTGTTGAGATGGGAGAGGAGAGGAACGTGGGCAGGAGCATTGCCTTGATCAAGGCTGAGGTTTTTTCATCAGTAGTCACTCGGGTGGCAGTTTTGGTTTAAGTTAAAA